AGGTCCAAGGTTACCTATCTTGGACTCATCTACGACAAGCGTCTGGTATGGAACGACCAAATGACTGCCACAACATCCAAGGCAAGATACCTGCTTCAGGCCTAGTATCCTCTGCTGACAGGTAAGCTCTTCCTGCGAACAAAGATTAGAGCTTACAAACAACTAATCCGCTCGGTGCTGACCTACGGATCTGATGCATGGTCCACGGCCAGCACCTGCCAGAAACACAAGCTGGCATTAATCCAGAATCGGATACTGAGGATAGCAGCCAAGGCCCCGTACTTTGTCAGAAATTCCACCCTGCAAAGAGACCTCAAAACAGATGACCTGCTGGACCATATCCGGAACTTAACATCAAAGTTCCTGGATAACGCCCGGCAAAGCAAGAATCCCACAGTCCGGGTTTCTTGCAAAAAGAAGTTTCTCTGTGACCGCAGACCTCTCCCTGCGGACACAGTCCAAGAAGAAGACGTGGACCACATGCGATTACCAGTTCTTGCACCACATCGAGGACCATGGGCTAACTCTAAGTTAGTTATAGGAAGCAAGAGAGACTTTTAGGTTTAGGTTTAGATTAGGTTAGTTAGGTTAATTTAGATTAAGTTATATACGATGACATATCTTAAGTTACATGGAGTGTTAGACACTCCAACGATGTTAGATCTAAGAACCCGTAGATAAGTAGCAGTAAGAAGTTTATGTATACTTAGCTGAAAATAAATATGTTCAAATAGTAATAGTACGGGGAGTCACTGAAGTCACAGCAGCGACCGGGTGCAGAAGAGGTTAAACTCCGCGAGTCGGAAGAGCGAGTTTTCGGTCTGTTATTGTTATTGTTTGTGAAGTTAACGGTAATTTTGAAGTTAGTTTGTTCCTGTTCGGTATTTAAAGTGATACCGAGTGGAATAAAAGTTGGAAGCTGAAAAAAGAGTTTGATACCCGGCCATCCACGGTACAATATTTATAAAAGCTTCAAGAATCCTTTACTGAATGAAAGAGAATCTTTTAGGAAAGAACAAATCTGATAGAGTTATCAACGTGCCAGCAGACTATGTTTACTATGAAAAAACTGCCAGAAAAATAATAAAACCCTATGAGGTTCAATATCTACAACAATATCAAATATAAGAACCTTAAAAATGGATTTGAAAGTTCCATTGGATTTAAACTGGAACATTCTGAACTAGACATTTAAACCGCTACTTAGTACTCTAAGTCGTCTTTTAAAAGTCTATTAAAAAAGCATAAAAATAAACCAAGCAAAAGTGTTTACTTGTACAATCATTAAAAACACGCTGAAGCAATGTTACCATGTATTTTATGATTTACTGGAGCATGGTTAGTCTGGACTGAATGACAATGGGGACTTGTCGCGAACGATTCTCACAAGCCTGCGGATGTCCATCCTGCTTATGTCCCCATTCCATTCCTTCTTCTTATTTGCTACCCATTCATTGACGTTCTTAACATCACAGGCTGTTCTGAAATCCTCGCTTCTCTCTCTACCCAGCAGTGTCTCTCCCGTGATTCTACGGAATATTTTCGTCTCAGCTGTGTCTAGGAGTCTTGCGGTTTTCGCTGTTTCTGGCCTGGTTTCTGCGGTATATGTCATCACCGGCCTCACGACGGTTTTGTAGATTCTCAATTTAGTGTCCGTTC